TGTGTTTTATTATGAAACTAATCGATTATTAACATCTGTATAATTATGTAATTAGCTCACATCTCCCGACTCTTTTCATTGGTATGCAACATCTTCAAGCCAAAAATCTTCTGTCTGCTGAAGAATACCTGTTGACAAGCTCTCAAATTTGTGAGAATGATCCATTGGTATTAAACGAATTGGGTGTACTTTATTTTCAAAAGCTCAAGTAAGTAATATATTATATTAACCGGTTTAAAGAGGTAGGCCCTTAAAGAAATTCATAATTATCAGGTATGCTCAATCAGTCGACTTCTTTAAGAAGGCACATACGGTAGCAGAGGAAACAAAATGTCGGCCACAAGTATGGGAAACAATCTGGATTAACCTTGGCCATGCTTTCAGGCAGTTGGGGTAATTATCTGTACATGATTTAAAATGACTAGCTCATTATTTTCTTAATTATAACCGTGATCAATTTTTCTCTTAGCGAGCTGGATATTGCTGAGTCATATTTTCAACAAGTGGTGTCTATGTCACCACCCAATTCGGATGCGTTAACTGCATTAGGATATATTTATCATGTGAAGGAAGAGTTTGAAGAGGCGATCATGTATTATCATGAGGTTTTATATCTATTCTATTTTATCATTTTATTCTCTTTGACTCATTAAATTGCCATTAGAACCACTAAAAACATTGAATCTATAATCGGTAGGCATTGGGTATATGTCCTTACGATCCGATAACGCATGATCTCCTGAGTGCATGCCTTAGAGAAATGGTCCATGGTTAAGAGGACCCTTAACGTAGACCTGAGGTTTACAATTTTATCCTATACTGGGATAGCTTGAAATATGATTTGTTGATTAGTATTTAGCGTTTCTTTTTTTTTTTTTTTTTGAAGTTTTTTCAAGAAAAAATTGTATATTTGTTTTATAAAATGTTAATAAATTTTTTTAAATAAAAAAAATCTACACAAATTTCTTGCTGACCCTTTCTTAAATATTAAAATAGCTATATCTGTTTTGCAATCGATTATAATTCTGATTAAAATAACTTAGATTAGCAATTGGTTATTAAACTTATATTACGGTATATAATATTTTATATTAAGGCAAAGAAATTTTATAAAACAATTTTCTTTTTTCTGAAATCACAATTCTCCAAATCATAAGTCTTTCAATCGAAGATTGGAAACTTTATAATACGTTTTTAAACGTACCAAAGAGTATAGTTTGAACCTTAATTAATTTTAAATATCGTGTGGTTTATACATTTAAAACTTCTTATATTGATATGGTCTGAAGCTTTATTTAATTAATCAAATCGGAACACAATTGTTTAATCAAGATAAATTTATAAAAAAATCTGTACTACTGTTATATCTAACTATATACAGGTAATTGAAATAAAAGGAATATAAAATTTATATTGGTTATATTTCCTAACGAGATACGAAATATTGAAATATTAAAAATTTTAAGAAAATACGTAGTGCCACATCAAAAAAAAAAAATTAAACCCTATGATGTTTGCTAATAATAATGTTCTCAAGATTAGATGTCAGGTTATTTCCCAACACTGGACATGGTGGCCATAGGAATAATCTCATACGGAAATTCGCCTATAATGCCATTAATATCACGAAAACACCATGGTACATTGAGTATTCAAAGATAGTACCTAAAAATAATAATTCGTTTGATGACCATGAATTGGCATCTACTATAATTTGTTGGTGGCCATGAAAATATTTGGATACTGTGTGGTACAGACCTCCCACACAAGTTTGGACATCATCAAATCGGATATTATTATGTTTGCAGATTTTTTGTAAGAAACTAACAAAGGCTTTATCTTTAGACAAGCCAATTAAGGGTTTATCTGCAGGTTCAGGAAAGGTAACGGTCTTATTTTTTAATAAGATCTATTAAAATAAAAAAAAAAACTGTTTAATATTTAATTTAAATATTCAAAACAAACAAGTACTGAAGCATCACCTGGGATCTAACGAATTCAAGACCACCTCGTATATTGCATACGTTTTTGAGGCTTTCATACTTTTTGATGGTTTCTTTTGCCCGTTTTAGTTCATTGATCAATTCCTGTTTTTCGGTTTCTTTTCTTTTTATAATGTCAAACTTTTCATTTTCTTTTCTTTCGATTATAATCAGCTTCTCCACTTCCTTTCTTTCAATAATTGTTAACTTCTCCGCCTCTTTCTTCTCCATTATTTCGAGTTTTTCTATCTCTTTTAGTTCCATTAATTTAATCTTTTCGGTTTCTTGGTTCATTATGAGCCGATAAATTTGTCGATTGATTCTATCTTGAATTATAGGGTCATCAATATCGGATAGGTCAATGTAGTTGACATCGTCATTCTCATCTACTTCACTAAATAAAGAATAAAAGAATATCTTTGAGCTACTACACGATGGTTAAATACGCTCTACCCTCGTTATAACAGAGTAAGGTTAACGAAAATCAGAATAACCAGAGATAATACCCCAAAATCTCATCTTTAAATATAATTAAAATAAGATGAAAAAAACCAAATATAAGTTTTTATGCATGTTTAAACAACTCTTCTCATTAAGTGAAATCATATAACTTACTATTTATCTTTTGTTTTTTCGGGTTTGAAATTCGAATGTTAGCAGTAGTCGTCGCGTTTTCTTTGTCCTTTGATATATAATACAAAGCAATGATATCTCAATTAATAGTGTGAAAACAAGCATAAGATTCTTTAACATGAGAAAGAAGCACGTAATCGATTCGTTTTCTGGAATCAATAAGCTTTACTCAAGAACCTAATTTGATTGTTTCTGTGTACATAGAACGAACCACCTTTACTAGATAGTTTCCTCAGATGGTTCAATCCAGAGAAACCACCTTTGCAGATGGTATCACAAATGGGTTGTCTATTTATTTGTGTACGTAGAATGAACTATCCTCGCTAAATAGCTCAAGCAGTCGATCCAGAGAAATCGCGAGTCTTGCGACAGAGGCGATATCACAAAAGCAACCTAATGGCTTGACTAACTATCAGGAGATATACATACATTAGAGATTCTTTTTCTTTTGCCGGATTTTTTAGTTGCAATTCTAACCTCCATGGAAAATAAAACTATTCATGTTTTTGTTGACGCGCAAAATGGGGTTTTTTATACTATGCGCATGCCAATTTACTTATTTTGGCGAGTACCGTGGTGCACTGGGATGGGGATTTACCTATTTCTGCAAGTGATACAAATCACGTGCAATAGTAACTATTCGTTTGTTGTTATGCTATGCGACCGTATAGATTACAATCTCAAGAACTATGAAAATTATGACACTGAGGTTATGAGTACGTGTTAAGCCCGTTATTGAATGACGAAAAATATGACTATTCCAAAATTCTGACTGGCGTGAGATATGGCTTTTCGTTAAAATGTGCAAGAACATTACACGAATCTGCAATGTCTGTCTACCTTAGGTTATGACCTTATGACTTATAAAATTTACTGCGTATTACATTATGACACCTTGATCATATAAAGTTGAATATGACCTAAAATGGCTAACACTGGTCTATCTTGCATAACCTCCAATTTTTTTTAAATAATGGATAGATTTTGTAAAAAATTGTTTGATAACGAAATATTGTTTTTTATTGCGTATAAAATTTTGACTAAAATAAAATATTTTATATATGAGTGCCGCCAAGGGAAAAGAGTCGGGAGATGTGAGCTAATTACATAATTATACAGATGTTAATAATCGATTAGTTTCATAATAAAACACA